TCCTGAATGAGATATACATATTCAGACATGATTACTGTGTCAATTTGTTCTACTTGTTCTAATTTGTGACAAGAAAGAACTATTTAGGGGTGGGAGGAATTATTGGGGAAAGTAGTTGGATAGTGACGGTGATAAAGAAAAAAAGAAAAGAATATCAGTTAAACATTTAAAAATGAAAAGAGCAAAAGGAAGTTCAGAAATGGTGACAAATGGACAGGACAGTTTTGTTACTATTGTGTTCAACTGAACAAACACCTTCAAATGTAATGAAAGGTGACAGCTTCATATGCAATCCACTTTTTTTCTGTTATTTGTATATTGAAATGTTTGTGTTAAAAGTTCAAAATAAAAAGAAATTTTAAAAAGAAAATTTACCTCCCAACCTTTTTTGCTGAGGCTGGCAACTCTTAGTATAGAATATTATATACACTGTCAGACATGGTTGACATATTGGTTGGTTTTGCAGAGCTTATTTTTTTTTCTTTTTTTTAGTTTGCTACAAAAGTAAGTTTGATGGGTAGCAAATGAGGAAGAAAGTAATCAGAAATGATGTGATATGAAATAAAAATTATCTAGGAATAAGAAACAAGAGGCCTTATTATAAATCTTAGATTTTTGTACTATCATTATCATCACCCTCAACATCATCTACTATTAACTTCAAAGGATCAGTGACCATTAACCAATCTGGTTAGTCTCTAATTAGTACACAGATCACAACCCATTCAAACCACTTGATTCCAAGATTTTTTTTTCTATGTTCTTCTACAGATTCTCCAAAGAGAATCTGCCCAATGGGCCTGGAGATTTTCTTGCTATGTTGATGGGCTGTTTTATAAGATATTTCATCAAGGAGAAGATAGAAAGAGAATGAGGAGAAAATTGGTGACTACACACAATAACATTGCCTGAAAAAAGCACTCAAGAGAACATCTGTACCTATCAACCTCTATGCCTATTTCCTTGTCTTTATAAAATCTTTATAACAATGAAACTTATACATGTATCTATTAGCCTTGATGAAAATGGGGGGAAACAGACTTTCACAAAGTTTCTACAGTAGAACATATCTTTACAATCATTCAATTCTCTCCATACAAGTCCCTCAGAATATAAGATCCTACTGTGTTTACTATTAGATAGAAACAAAAAAGCATTTAATTTGGTACAGCAAAATGAAGCCTGACAGGCTCTCTTCCAACAAGGAATCTTGTGCATATATTAAGATAATATAAGATTTCTTTACAATATAACTATAGAGATTACTGTTCAATAGCCTTCTCACTGAGGTCAACAGAGGTTTAATAGAGTGTGATATACATAGCCCCCATCAATCGTAGTGCCTACTATGTGCCAGACACTATGCCAGGAAACAAGGATGCAAAGGCCAAGAGTAAAACAATCCCTGCCTTCCAGCAGCTTACAATCTAGCAAGGGGAGATATCACATACCTATATAGGTCTATACAAAATAATTTGGAGGAGAAGGGAGAAAAAGGGAGAGGAAAGTCTTCATGTAAAAAGTGGCACCTTAGCTGCCCTTTGAAGGAAGTGAGGGATTCTAAGAGGTGAGAGAGAGCCAATGCAAAGGCACAGATGGTGGGGTGTAAAGTATAAGAAGGCTGCAAAGGTAGGATGGGGCCATGTTATAAAAGGTTTTAAATACCAAAGAGAGGCGTTTATAGTTGACCCAAGATGTAACAGAGAGCTTATTGTTAATGTTGTTTGTTGTTAGGTCGTGTCTGACTCTCCATGACCCCATTTAGGGTTTTCTTGGCAAAGATACTGAAGTGGTTTGGCATTTCATTCTTCAGCCCAGCTTACAGATGAGAAAATTGAGGCAGAGTTACATGACTTGCTCAGGATCACACAGCTAGTAAGTGTCTGAGGTCAAATTTGAATTCAAAGTCTTTCTACTTCCAGGCCTGGCACTCTATCCACAGCTCCACCTAGCAGCCCCACAGGGAGCTAGTGAAGTTTACTTATTGAGTATGGAAGTGACATGATCAGATGTGTGCTTTAAAGAAAATCAATTTCACACCTGTGTGGAGGATGGATTAAAAGAAATTAGAGGAGACTATTGCAATAATCCACATGACAGGTAATAAGGACCTGAACTAGGGTGACAGCTGTGTGAGCGGAGAAAAGATAACAGATGTAAGAGTTGTGGAGAGGGAATGGACAAGATTTGGTAAGATATGTAAAGTGAAGAGTTGCAATCACAAAGCTAGATAGAAAATAGAAGGAGGGGGCACAGCTAGGTAGCGCAGTGGATAGAGCACTAGGCCTGGAGTCAGGAGAACTTGAATTTAAATCTGGCCTCAGACACATGATACTCACTAGTTGTGTGACCCTGAACAAGTCACTTAACCCTGACAGCAGTACCCTGAAGAGATAAAGAAGTTTAGAGGGTTTATAAGTAGAAAATTAAGGAGTTTGTTTTGGACGTGTTGATTTTGAGCTACCTATGTGACACCCACTTCAAAATATTCAAAAATCATTTCATGATGTGTGCCTGGAACTGAGGAGAGTGAGGAGATAACATATATCTGAGCATCAAAGAAAGGATTGCTAAGTCATGTGAGCTAATAAGATCGAGAAGAGAATAAGTTCAGAATAAAAGAATCTGAGAGTTGAAGAACCCTCAATGGCCATCTGGTCTAAAAGAATCCCCACTACAACGTACTCAACAAGTGGTCAGCTTTTAAGTCTTTGATTAAAGACCTTCAAGGAGGGGGAAATTACTACCTCTCAAGGCAGCTCATTCCATTTCTGGACAGCTCTGATTGTTGAAGATTTTTCACAATCTCAAGCTGAAATCTGCCTCTTTCCAACCTTTACCCACACAGCTCCCAGTTCTTTCCTCTGGGGCCAAATAGAACACATGACTGCCCATCAAATACTTGAACACATGTCTTCCTGAGTCTTCTTTTCTCCAGGCAAAATATGCCCAGTTATTTCAACTAATCCTCATATGTCATGAACTGAAAAGTTCTTCACCATCCTGACTGCCCTCTTTTGCTCATTCCCCAGCTTATAATGCCCTTCTTAACCCATGGTCCCCAGAACTGAACACAATATTCCAGACAAAGTCTGACAAGAACAGAGTACAGTGGGATTCATTCATCATAATGTACAACTGGAATAGGAACAATTGATAAGACAATGAATGAGTTGAGACCAGAAATGAATAGATTGCATTTGAATAACTGTATAGTCTTTACAACAAACCCAAAATACTCCCCAACACAAAAATTCATCATCTTTAACACACTTTCTCATTGATGCTATATGGTTTCAAATCTCAAAATACCACATCTAAAAAGTAAAGCTGTGAAAGGGCAATGGAGAACTGCAGGATGGACACAAGCAGCCTATTTCCAACAATGAAATGTATGAAGGCAAGAGGGATAGCATCCTTAAACATTCTACTTAAAAAAGGTGGAAGGACAATCAGACAAAACCACAAGTTTAGAAATTCTGCATATGTCATATTCCAACTTCTTTTCTTTGGCAAAAAGGAACTGATTGATGCCACTGTTTTAGTAGCAGATACCAAATGAAATTTTCCTATTTTAACAATATACCAAAATGTCCTTGGGAAAAAAATCTGCCACAGCCCCAACAGACTGAATACAAAAGCTATCACAACTAATCTGTTTCCTAAAAAGCAAAAATTTGTTTTCATTTAAAAAAAATAAACAGTTGAACCAGGAGAAAAGATACCCACATGAAATGTAATCTATAAAGTTGTCTCCTAATTCAAAGGCAAACAAAACTAAAGGAACAGGAAGATGATCCCACATTGGTTTCCTTTTCCTGAGGGTTCCAACTACATTTTCTTGTTTAATTGGTCATGTCCTTCTCTAGGTAGGGGACACAGCAATTGTTCCTTCAGTTCGAATCATAAAACCATGCATGTGGAAAAGGAAAAAAGGAGGTACTGACGGGGAAACCGAGAGAACACACACACAAACATGCACAATTGGTGATGACCTTATCCAGCCAGGAGACACAGAAATTTTTCTTTCAGTTCACAACATAAAACTGTGTGCAAGGGGAAAAGGAGGGAAAGTAGGAAAGGAAAAGCAACAGAGATGAGGAACTAAACACATACATGCCTCTGGTGGTTACCACCAGAGAGGGAGATCACAGTAAGAGGATGTATATTAAAACAGGATGGGTGTCCTTCAGTGACACTGGTTTTTGCGAAACCTAGATAAGGATGAGCCAGGGAGAAAAGACTAAAAACCTATGTCAGTGAGCAGTAGCTTTGCCAAGAAAACTGGGAAGGTTACGGCTTGGATTATCAAACCCGACCACGACTAGTGGTTGGGTGGGGGGTGGGGGGAAGGGGAAGGCTTGTCCGGGAAGGATCCAGCCCACCCCCACTCCCCAACTCGCTGGAGGAGGGGTGGAGAAGAGGGAAAATAAGGCAAGAAGGCTGCTCTTTTCCCAGCCAGGTGTGGAGGCCCGAGCAACCTGAAGCCCAACGCTTAATCACCAAAATCACCAGACCAATCCCCCTCGCCCGGGACTCCCAACTCCAAATCACCGCCCAGGTCTCCTCCTCGCAGTCCTCCGTCCCCCCTGGGGCCCCGAACGCCCGGAGCCCACCCCTCACCCCGGCCCTGCCCGCCTCGGCGGCGGAGGAGGAGGAGGACCAGAGGGAAGGGCAGAGCGCGGGGGAGCCCGGGCGGCCGGAGGGGTCGCGGGGAGCGAGCCCCGCGGGGGAGGCTGCCCAAGCCTACACCCGGGCGGCCATGGCTCCCCGACCCCCGACACAGCCCCGTCACCTCCCAGGGAGATGCCCTCCCCACATGCGTGTACACTGGCCCCAGACACACACACGCACACACACACACACACGCACACGCACACGCACACACACATACACACACACAGACACCCGCCGCCTCCACAGCTCCGCGATCCAGTCCTTTCTCTGCTCCTGTCCCCTCCCCCACGGCCTCAACCCACCGCCTCTCCCCTTTCCCCCACCTCATCTCCGGGCGGGATCTGCGCGGTCCCAGGGAGAAATCAGTGCCGGGCACACGCCCCGCGGAGAGATGAAAAAGAAGAAGAAGACGCCGCCGCCGCCGCCGCACCGCACACCATCCCCGCCAGTCCCGGAGCTCTCTCGGGATTCTCCCTTGCGAGCCGCCGTACTATGGAGCAACCAACTCTATCTCTCTATCTATCACTCTATCACTCTATCTATCATCACCTATCTTCCACCCTTCCCTTCAGTCTCGCGGGCTCTACTCCTCCGCCTCGGTCTCTTTCTCTGACCCCCCACTCTACCCCCCCAGTCCCGCTTGCACTCTCTCTACCTTGCTGCTCCCCGCCCACAGAAGTGGGGGGAAGGGAAGCAACCTCTCAATCCCGAGACTGTGGCCCCTCCTACCTCCCGGGAAGGAGAACCTGGATGGTGGGGAAGGCGGGGAGAGGTGGGGAGTGAGAGGGACGGACGACTTTTGCAGGCCCCGCCTACCCTGGGAAAGGAGGAGGGAAATAATGACATCCAAATGGACCAATAGGAGCTTGGATTTAGGAGTTGGGGGGGTCCTCCGCAAGATGGGAGAGAAGGGTGATGTTAGGAACTAGGCGATCTGACATTGGTTGGGCCTCTCGGTGTAATCGTTGCACAATCTCGGCTTTTTCACCTTATGCGATGCTGTCACATGCTACGTGGTGCCAGATTGAGGCTCTCTCTATGCTCCGTCACGGTAGCTATTAAACATAGTTAGCTGGAGGGGACAGAAAAACCGCCATCGCCCAAAGGCAAAAAGGGGCCTGGGGCTCAAGGGAGGGGCGGGGTAATAAGAAGGGCGTCTCCTAGACGACTTACTCAATTTGCATGAAATGGTCGCCTGAACCATGAGACCACAATGCCCAAAATGCTTTCGTGAGCAAAGTCCATCACTCCCTTGCGGGGGCTCCTGGTGAAGCATTCTGGGAGACGTAGTCTCTTTTTAGTTACTAGGGCACTTTCTTTCCCACGCTACCAGCTGTAGCTGATAGACAGAGGGTATAGGGCCAATGGGAGCGAAGCATTGAATAGAAAGGGCGGGCTTTAAACTGAACGACTCGGGACTGAGGAGGACGCGGGGAGTGTGGGTCCCCGACTCTACCCAGGTATGTGTCTTGAGGAACGGTACAATTCTGCTTTCTAGTGTGAGGAGGAAGTGGCTTATGGGGCTCGTGAGGCGGCGGGAGAGTTTTGGGGAGGGAGGACAGTGGTGACGCCGTTGACCGCCACGGCCCCACTCCGGTGCTTGGGCCCCGACGGAGCGGACGCGAGTCACGAATGTGCGTTGGCGGCGCTCCTCCGACTGTCCGGTTTTCCCCGATTTCGAGTAGGAAAGGACCTTAGAGAGCGTTTAGTCCACGCATGGACACACCCCTTACGGATGGAGAAACAGACCCCGGGAAATTACGAGGCCTTATCTTGTTTGGTTCCCCCTTTTCTACGGAAGAAAGCCGGGGTATTTTCGGTTCCGACTTTCTCCGCTAGGTGGCGCAGTGGATAGTGGTGTCCCTGGGGTCGGGAAGACCCGAATTCAAATCCTGCCTCTGACGTTTTCTGGCCTTGGGAAGACCCAGTGCAAATTCCTTCACCACTGTTGATCTTTGCCTCGGTTTTCTCATCTGTAAAATGGAGATAACCATAGCACCTTCCTCCCAGGGTTGTTGTGTGAAGCGAATCAGTCAGATATTTTGTAAAGCACTTGGCACAGTGCCTGGCATGTAGTAAGTACTTAAATGCTTTTTTCCCCTTACTTCAATATTTGCTTGTGATTCGAATAAAATTGAATTGATTTTTTCTTTTTTTTTCCTTTCTGGTCAGCTGGCGGTAAGTGTGTTATTAGTATGGGATCCTACATAAGCCCCCTAAGTATGTTATTAGTATGGGATCCTACATAAGCCCCCTAATCTCTTTGGGCCTCAATTTCTTAGACAAAGGAGTCGAAGTATAGATGATACCCAAGCTCCCTTCCCATCTCGAAATGTGTGATTATCTTTTTTTATTGCCTCCTTGACTTAGGTTTCCCTCCCATTGGCGCTCATGGTTTCATGACTCTTGAGAGCTTTTTGGCAGTCACCATTAACCAAAAGTCAGAGGACTCCTATATGCCATGTTGTAGAGAGTATTTTTTATAACGGTCTGATACTGGGTGGGGGGGGGGAATTTTTTTTGGTCCTGACTTGTGAATTTTATGTGCAAAACTCCTGTTGTGAAAACTTTCCCTACTGATGAAGAGACTGAACTTTCCCTCAGTCTTGAGAGTTGGTTGGGGGAGGCAGAGAACAAGTATTTATATTAAGTGAATACTATATGCCAGGCACTGTGCTGTTATATAAATATTATCATCGAATTTGAAGGGTGGATTTGAACTCAGATCTTTCTCACTCTAAGCCTAGCACCCTTATCCACTACATCACCTGCTTGCCTTACTGCTTGGAGCATTAAGACTTTAAATGACAATTCCCATATAATCATAGTCATTATGTGTCAATTCTCTAGAAATGAGGCCTTTATCAGAAACACTGGCTGTGAAAATTGTTTCCCAGCTTTCTACTTTCCTTCTAATATTGGTTGCATTGGCTTTGTGCAAAAACTTTTTAATTTAATGTAATCAAAATTATCCGTTTTGCATTTCATAATGTTCTCTATCTCTTGTTTGGTCATAAATTCTTCCCTTCTCCATAGATCAGAGAGGTAAACCATTCCTTGCTCTCCCAATTTGCTTATGGTATCACCCTTTATGTCTAAATCATCATAGTTAATGTGTGTCAAGAGGCAGGTCTTAAACTCAGGTCATATCAGCTATAAGATGGCACTCTTCCTCCTTCTTCCCTACACTGAAAAAAGTTGCTTACTAGTTCTCAGAAACAGAGGATCTATCCTTTAGTCTTCACTTTATGGTACTAACCATTGACTTTAGAATTTTGTTTGACCAGAGGTTTGTTCTCAATATTGACATTATTGGGTATGTGGTTCTTTTGTCTGTATTGGTTCCCTGCTTTACACCACTTCTTACCAATGTTTCTCTGGATTGTTTTTGTATTTTTCTTCCCTTACTACTTAGTAGTATTCCTTATCATCATGCCATATTTGTTAGGTTATACCTAACTGTGTAGCATGTACATTGTTTCCAGTATTTTATTAGAAAACTAACACTTTGAGAAAAGTTGTTACACATAAGGGCCTTTTATTTCCATCGTTAACCCTGGAGTATAGTCTCAGTAATCATCAGATGTCTCAGTCAAGGATATTCACAATTCAATAAATTTTCTAACGTAATTCCAAATTATTTTCCAGAATAGTTGGACATCTTCATAACTTTACCAAGAGTGAAGTTAGCATACCGTTTTCCTACAACTCCGTCAATAATATATTTTCCCATCTTTTACCAGCTCAGAAATCAGAGTTCTTGAAGAGCCATGTGTCATGCAATAAAGACTACTCTCTATATAAGCATAAACAATCTGGCACACAAGGATTTCATCAAGAGCATTCATCATTGAACAAATTTACAGTTATGCTTAATTTCTCCTTACATATATGTGTTCATTACCCACTTTCTGCTATAAGTATTTCTAATTTTTAGTTTATGAAGTGAGAGCTAGAAGTAAGGACAAAGTATGGTGCTAAAAATGGAAACTTCGGCCTAGCTTGTAGTAGTAGAATGTAGCTTTGTTCAAAACCTGCTCAGCAGTGTTCTGTGTAAGACCAGGTTGCCTCTAGTCTAAAGTAAAATGCTTTATACAATTTTGCCAGTTTTCTTTTGGAGTTCAAATACCGTGTAGGAAAATATACTTGAGAAACTAAGATAGAAACTGTTCCACTCATAATCAGAAATAAACTGGATTTATTTTATTTTTACTAGGTGTTTATTGCCTTGAATAGTGACGAAAGTATATAAAAATTCTTTAACTAATATTTGGCTGCAAAGCTCAGAGTGCAAATTCTGCCTGACTTAATCACTGTATTACCTTAGACAAGTAACTTAACTTCCCTGAACCCCAGTTTTCCCATCTATAAAATTGGTGTAATAATAGCACCTACTACTGTTTATATAAATGTTAGCTGAATTACCAGTTTGGTAGTGAATCTGTAATTGAATAATTGTATGATAACAAACACCTTCTTTCCCCTTTTGAACTGTACATATGGATTTCAAAGATGTTACTAGTCTCCATCTGTTCCTTGAACAATTTTATCCAAAGAAAAAAGTTTTCTTGGGAAAGAAATAATTTAAATACAAGCAAGTCAGAGTATGAGCGTGTGAATTATTTTCAGCTTTCATAAATTATAAAAATATTTATTTGACCACTTTTGCCTAACAAAAGTTTTTCATTCCTTTATAAATATTTTGTCATTCTTATAACTCATTTTTGCAACCCAAACAAGAGAATTAGCTTACCGTATGAAGAAATAATTTAAGAATTAAAATCAGAAGTTCTGAACTACATCAATGTTAGATGCTTCTAAGAGATTGAAAAAGTTTATTAGTGCTTTGATAACTCTGTTGGATCTATGATCTCATTGACATAGGTATTCTGTCTCAGTACAAATTGCAGTCCATCTATAACTTCTCAGCCTATGCTACTCTCCATAAATTATCCGTAGAAAAGAACCAAGCATCCTGGGGGCTTTCCTCACTTTCTCTTGATACTTATGAATACCAGTGCAGCGTCTGAGCTGGCCAGTTAATATCCCTCACTCATTATATGGACCCACTTCTTTTTCCAGTTAGACACCTTTCCGATGATCTCCTTTATGCATTTCTTAAGAATAGTCCTTCACTGGCAACATCTTGCAATTTACACATACTCCCCTTGTGCCCATGCATTTCCTTTGGGTAACCCAAAATTTTAATTCTTCAGAGACTTTAGTCTCCCGGGACTCAGCAGTCCTGTACAGCATCACCTGAAAATAGTGATATTTAAAAAATGGGCCTTTGTTTCAAGGATATTCTTTGAAATGTTAAAAGTACCATTCAGTTCTTCAAAGGCAGTCCAGCCAGCACCTCCAGTTCAGTTCTGGACCCAATTGTCCTTTTGCATCTTTTGTCCAAAATATATGTACTAATAATCCGTCTAACTTGATATTGTAGTCTGAATAATAAGCATTTTTCATACACTTAGTTTTTCCTATGTGAATAGTTAAACCAAACTCCTGAGTGATTATAGATCTCCTGAGTGAAATCTATAATGTCAGATACTAAGTTCCCACCAGTCACTACAATGTTCTTCACAAACAGGAACATCTAGAATATTTCACCGTCTACGTAGAATCCCTCTTCCATTTGGACTTTGTGGGATGTCCTTCATAATAGTGGCAAAGACTTTTAAAAAGCATGTCTCAAAAAACAAAGCATGCCTCCCTATTTTATACTCTTCCCTATATGTTAACAATCAGAGGGTTGCTGAACAAGGTTACTACTGTTATTACATACTTCAAGTTATCTTGTATGATTTAATAATAAATGTTCTTTAATACACAACATAGTCTTATCCCTATACCTTTTATTCAGTTATGTGAATAAAGATGTAATATGCTATATCAAATGCATGCCTGTTTTCTCATACTTTCTGATAAAAAAATTTGTGTAAATCCCTATGTCAGTGGTTATTGATATTTTCTTGGTTGCCTTTTTGAGAGTAAAAACATCTGAATTTTTGCCCCAGTAGTTTGGTACCTTCCATTCTTTCAGCTATCAGTACTCTTAAAATTGTGTCAGACCTTGTGTATCCTTGATTTAGTTCATATATTCTTTGCAAATTGGTTTTCTTTAGTGCCAGAATTGAATAAGAGGAAGTAATTAGGCTGGATTTCAGAAGTTGTACAACACTTTTTCAAAGATCTTGAGCTACTTGCTCCCACAAAAACATCCTTTTAACACCATTAGTGTCTAAATGATGTGTGTGGATATAAATCAAGAATATCATGACCTCCAAATGACAAAAATTGTAGATAAAACAAAATTCAGTGATAATACATAGGTGTTTGTAAGTAGGTTGTAGAATATTACCAATGATGATTTGCACTAGCCAGATAACATAAAACATCATCAAATATATGTGTGTGTATACATGTGCATACATACATGTGTGCATATATACATACA